ATTTAACAATGATTAGGATTAAGGGCATTCTATGAAACGCAACCTAGGCTATGATGGAATGAAATCAGTTAAATCTCTTTATGCAAAATGAGAATAAATGACGTTATAGATAGGACTTTTAAAAAAAATATGGAAATTTTTTGTCACTGCATTGTATAAAATGGGATTTAGCGGTATTAACCCTTAACACAAGTTACACAACTTGTCGTGTGATAATTCGATGAGTTCTAAATAAAACAGTCCTAATTGACCATTTATTACTGTCGTAATCTGACAGATTGACGCATTCGGGGCACTTTCCTGATTATCCATAATCTTTGAACACCGAAATTCCTCACAACAGTTAGTTCCCCTGATCAGTGCAAGTTCCTCGCAGCGGTTACTTCCCCTGATCAATAGAATCAAACTACTGTTTTAATTTTCCCAAAGACTTAAATTATAGGAAATGACCCCTGAACCTACCTTGAAATTGAGTATTCGTGCTAAAGATATGTTGTTGTTTTTTCTAAGAGTATGTCATGCCTGACACATTAAAATGGCCTTGTTATATAGGACTAAGTAATTATTTTTTTCGCAAAATATCCCCTAATATGATTACCTCCCGCAGCAGAAATTTCCTGCTGATAACGGGACTGACATACATTTTTAAAAAAGTAAAAATATATCGCTACAGTTCATTTTTTAAAGAAAACAGTATAGTGTTACTTTCTTAAATAATTTTCATGCTTGTAAATATCAAATTTTCATCCAATCATCTGATGGTCCATTTAATCTTACGGTTGTCCCTGTACGTTTTTTTCTATCAATCGCTGGCTATCTTACAATACAGTTCTTTGGCCTGATACAGATCAAGTGAAGTAGTCTCCGAAGGACTTTTTAGGAAATGATTCTGGTTGAAAGTAGCTCTACCCGCATGACCTGTTGTATAAAACAAGACAGTGCCGTAAACTTATGTAAACTGAACTTGCAAATTTAGAATCTATTGATGAGTAAAATGTTCTACGTGGCATATCGTTTTTCGAGTTTTGAAGAACAAGTATATAGTTTACCAGTTTCAGCTTTGTTTTGGTCGATGGCTCTACAACGGAAGTGTAGAGGGCTCTAATTTAAACAGATCACCAAATTGTGAAAAAGCCACTGTTTAGTACGGGTTTGCTAAAAATTCTAGAAATAGTTTGTTGTAAAAGTCAGGCCTAATTTTTATTGACGTAGGAATACAAACAAAAATAAAAAAATAAAAAAGAAGATGTGTACAATATATCAGCAAATACGCAGGTTGTACAAATAAACAAGACAAAATGTTTACGTTCCAGTTCTCATTTAAAGGATGAATAAATGCATCATGGCGCCCTGTTTACATTTTATTCTTCAATTAAATGGCAATTAAAAGACTATTCCCTAAATCATAAATAGTGATACACCCTATTTTAAAGGAGATAAGACTTATTTTTTACATAATAAATTTTACAGGGTCGTGTGTGGGTTGAATTCTTGACGCAATCTATGAAAATTTTAACCAAATGTCGGACTACTATACATTCGAGTACCTGATATAAAATACGAACAAAGGACACTTTGTAAGGACACTTGAATATTTTATTATTTTAATTTATTATGATATAAGATAAAATACTCTAAACGTACAGAAGCTAACCGAGCCTTGTATGGAGAGCATATGATGACTGACAAATTATGTACTTGAAATTTAAGTCCTTGTTTAACTTTTTATAGCGATTTTTTTTCTTATTTCGGATTGCAACGACAAATTGTATATTCTGCTAGTTTTTTGTTGTTGTTTTTTTGTTTGTCTTGATATATTTATTCCAAAAATTTTATATAATGTACAAACAAATAAACAACAAACAAAAATATTTTCACATAATGGAAAAGAATGAGAACGAAAGACGAGTCTAACAGAATTCTTCTCCTTATGCAAACTATATGGTTTTGTCTTAAATAAATTAATAGTTAGAATAAACTATTCAAGGGAATAAGTATTATATTCGTATATAAATAAATAAAACAAAACGATTACTATATACATGTAGTCGATTTACTGTATGTTTGTTAGGCAATTTAGAATTGTGTGTTTTCCGGTTGTCTTTAAAGGCACATTACGCATCAGAAACGAATACATTTTTTCCTCTCTAGAAAGGACAAACATTAGTTTTGAAATGTTTAAACAATGTTTTTTGAGCATGTCAGATGTTTATTACCCGAGGACAGTAGCACTGAATGTAAAAATATTTGTCAAAAAATTAGCAAAATGAAAACAAAGTAGTATTTTGACTTCCATACAAAATACTAAATCACTATAGCTGTACTAATACGCAGAAAGCAGCATTAACAAAAATTAATTCAGGCTATTTGCAAATGAGTAACATTTTGGAAAATGTAACAGGACACCAAATATAACAAGAGGGCGAAGATGGCTCACCTGACCCATCGAACTCATCCTGACCAAGTTTGATGACATCGAGTAAAATATGTGACCACTAGAGTGTTAACAAGGTTTTTTGTATTTGAGCGATGTGGCCTAGTTTCTGACCCAAGGTGACCAATATCCGAACTTAACCTAGAAATCATAAAAACAAATTTGCAGACCAATTTCAAGGATATTTTGCCACTAGAGTGTTAACAAGGTTTTCTATTTTTAGCTCCTGTAAGCTAGTTTTTCGTTAGAAATGACCTATGTTTGAGCTCATCCGAGCAATTACCTAGACAAGCATCCTGACAAAGTTTGGTGATTATTGAGGCAAAAATGTGACCACTAGAGTGTTAACAAACAAAAGTGGACGGACGACAGACGACGGACATCCAACGATCCTAAAAGCTCACCCTGAGCTAGCTTTTGAGAAATAAAAATGAAAGCATTTCTGGAGCATTATGGGTCTTTAACTTTCATAACCATTTGAAGCACAAGTATAACAGTAAAATGCTTAACAATATTAAATGTACAAATTACAAAATAATTTTATCAGAGACAGATCTACACCGCTAAAAATACATGTTCACTAATATACGGGAATATACGGTCTCGTATATTCACCATATACGGTCGAATACATCATATACGGGCGAATACGGGACTTTTACTTGTCTAATTTACGGACCAAGTAATCGATTGAGAAACTCTGGAAGAAAATAAAGCCAAATGTACTATTTCACAAAAAATCTTTAATATTGAATTATATTCAAGGGTGTGGCATTTCCTATGAAAATAAATAACATTTGTTAAAGTCTAAGAAATGAATAAATATTTTCTTCTCTAAAAAGTGCACACATGAGTTTGATAATGGTTTTAGAGCATCTAGAAAATAGAACTGAATATGAAATTGTTTGTCAGACAAGTAGCAAAATTTAAACAAATTAGTTTATTTTTTATACTTTTTCACAAAATATTAAATAACTTTTTATGTACGTATTGCCTGAAAAGGTTCAGGTAATTGGTCGATGAGTAATTTCTTTTTCTATATCAGGGCACCAAAACATAAATAACTTTTGAAACGTAAAAGTTAAAGCATTTTTGAGCCTTTATTATTGCTCCCATAAAACATGTAATTATTGTATTGCCAACACTTGAACAATTTAATTCTGAACAACTCCATGGCTTTTTAAGTGATGAAAAGTTTTACCTAGACTGAAAGATGAACAAGTCAAATTAAGATATTTTGTGTAGTAATAGTTAATGTGCATGGCTGAACTGTTTTTTACAGATTATTTTTTATAGAAATATCTAGTTAAAACGTTAACGTGTATTGAGAAGTAAGACTTACTTTTCCTGGACTCTACAATGACCGCTTTATTTCAATTCTATTTTTCAATTGCATATTTACATTCATTATTTCAATTCAGAATTTCAATTCTAAATTACAATGCAATATTTTAATTCAATACTTCAATTTAACATATCGAATTGACATTCAATTCAATTTTACATTTCAAGCCAATATTTTAATTCAATATTGAAATTCTAAATTTAAATTTAATTTTCAATTCAATTCTACATTTCAATTCAATATTTTAATCAAATATTTCAATTCAACATTTCAATTCAGTATCTCAGTTCAGTATTTCAATCCTAAATTTCAATTCAGAATTTCAATCCTATATTTCAATTCAGAATTTTAATTTTGACAATCAATTCAATTCTACATGTCAATCCAATTTTTAACTCAATATTACAATTTTACATTTAAATTTAATTTTCATTTCAATTCTGCATTTCAATGCAATATTTCAATATAATATTTCAATTCTGCATTTCAGTTTAGTACCTCAGTTCAGTATTTCAATTTAGTATTCGTGCGTAGTAATTGAATTCGATATTTCAATCTAATTTTTTAATTCAATACATAGAACTAACAACATCTTGTGTTTGATAAGATTCGGTTGACTATATGAGGTTAGAATGAAATAAATATATGATATCTTTCTACACAAAAAAGTGAAAACAGAAACATCAACAACAACAACAACAATAACAACAAAAATAATAATATAAAAACCCGAAATATTTACAATTTGTGCTATGAAAATAGAAGAAAAACAGACACCCATTAATATTATTTCTGTAACGGCGAATTTCGTTTTCTAAAAGGAACTCACTGAGGTCAAAAAGCTTAAAAATACAAAAATTTGAAATTCTTACATAAATCAAGTGAAACAATAAAAATCGAAAAATCTACAAAGGTTGGTGATGAAGTATACTAAGAATTAAATCGAATATGAATATTGATTTTTTCAGGCGACTCTTAGATTGATTTTTAGTGAAAAGCGTTGCAACGTTTATCATTTTTAGTCATTCTAGACAATAAAAATAAGCATGCATGCTGGAAAAAAAACAGGGCGAGGAATTGATATGAAAATTTGCAGACAAGTAATTGGCCCAAACTTACATCAAATGGTCACAACTATTGTAAAAATATTTCAAGTTCAGTGATCATATCTAAAAAAAACCTCAGTGGAGTCCCTTTAAACCATTCCGGCTTGTGGTGAATTTTATACATACAAAGATATTTCTACAATGTATATGAGTTATGTCTTTGCAACAAGGGACACCATCGTCACATTATTTTGTACTTGTATTTATATTTCGATAATTTCGGCTGTGTGGCATCCATGTCTCTTTTGAAGGCATTTTAGCCTCCCGACGATACAATTTCCCCGTTGTAGGGCCTTCCACAGTGTGGCTATTGATCTGATTATACGGTCCGTTTCTCAAACCATTTTGACCAGTATATTTTACGGGAATCCTTGACGACGCAATATTGCCTTGTTCCCTTTGACGTCTTGAGCGTTCGTCATTTTCTTCGTAAGAAACATGCTTCAAAAGAAAAGAAGGATTTCTCGTTGAAAGAACTAAAAATAGTAACATGCTCAAACCTCACAATGGTCAATTTGTGCGTAATATTTATAAAACTAACCAAAGTTTATTAGCAGAACATCAGTAAGTAAAGGGAAACTATAAATTAGGAAAGACCGGTGGAGACATTTCAACTTCCTGAATTCCCAATTTCATCTCGTTATTTCATGAATTTACGATATTCAACTTCATGAAGACAACTTCACGAATTCCACTTCACGAATTCCACTTCACGATTTCATCTTCACGAATTCACGATTTCAACTTCACGAATTCACGATTTCAATTTCATGAGTTCACTATTTCAACTTCATGAATTCGTGATTTCAACTTCGTGAAGTGAAAGCTGAAATATCACCCACCGGTCTTTCGTAATAAATCCTTGTTCTTTAAGTCTTTTTGTCAAACTACTTTATGTCATATCTGATCATGATTACCTTTGGTCTGTCATATTTGTTTGCTGATCCAAAGTCGTCTGCAAATGTTTGCCGCCTATTTACATCACCATTTTCGACTCCTCTTTCACGTACTACTAATTTTGCCCCTACCGTCGATCCTTTGCAATAGCTGTCATTTATATAATTAAAGAAAGAAAGCAAAAATAGTTTATACTCACTAACATTAAATTTATTAAAGGCCCAGTATGCCTCAGAAATGCTATCATTTTCATTTCTCAAAAATTGTTTATTTTGGGTTCCAAAAAAATACTTATTTGCTATATACATTAAATTAGCTCTGTAGGCAATTGGTATAATTAAATCTAACATGCACTTAATCCATTATTTAAACATTATAAAACACATGTTTGACATTTCTAAAGAATTAAAAAAATGGATTTCTGAGGCTTAATGTGCCTTTAAGCATTTGTCAATACTCAATTGATAGTTAACAGGCCCTTTCGCAACTGGCCTCACGATCAAAGTTTCCGTTAGCTGTTTTAAACAGAGTTCTTGATTCGACATGTGCTTTGAATTTAATTTGTTTAAAAACCTTTGCAATATACAAAATTTATACATAGGTAATTTCTGATGTTTTGATTTAATAGAAATTATGTCTCTCCTTTGAAAATCCACTGTTTATAATAAGCAAAGACAGGCTGAGCTCAGAGCCGGAGAACGCTCATTTAATCATGTATTTAATTTATTAATCTATATTAAAGAAAAATACGTCTAATTGATACAGCTTGGCAAACACGTCATATGATCAAATTGTATAGACCTTTTAACAATACGAAATTTCCATAGAAACGGAAGTAGCATTTGGCGCATGCGCATTCTCCATAGGACATTAAAAGCAATAATCATGGCTATGCACTTACCCAAATATTTTGAGACAATACATCAGCAAACACGCTAGCAAAAGAAGACACAGCAGACCAAAGGCCACACATAGCACTATTGTCATCCAAAGAGGTACTGTAATATAGAATATACATGATTTAAATACCATAAGCACTGATTGTTTCAATGCTTCTTTTTCATCATGGCCTCCTTGATACTGAATATTTTTAATTTAACGATCTACTTAGTTTTGACCGGAAATGCATTATAAATCAAAATCGCTTTGACTGGATAACATAAATGCGTGAATGCTTAAAGGATCTCCTAGTTCAAAAGGCTAATAACATAAATTTTGAAAATTTTACAAAATCTAGTTGATTTTAGCATTTGAAAAAGGTAATAAAAGAATACATTGTATACAAAAATTTAATCGAGAATCGAATTTTTGTGCGATTTTTGCCCAATTTCAGTTAAAAGCGTTTTTAAACGTGTTTTTTTTTGTTTTGGTCATTTTGCACAATTAAAATTATTGTTATAAAAAGGGATAAGAGAATGACCAGAAATCTTGCAAACAAGTTATTAGTCAAGTTTAACATTTTACACGAATCTCGAAAAATATATCTAGTCCAAACCTCAGTTGAGTCCCTTTAAATAGCTTTTGTTTCTGTTCCCCAAAGACATATAACAACAAAAAGGTTATACGCACACACTACCACCAGACGTGTTTGTAAAACATACTAAAACCTTTCATTGGGTCTAGAATAAATATGATTTCAATTCTATAAGTTTGATTTTCGTAACAATGATTTATTATTTGTTCATAAAATCTAAATTTCTTTTTTTTGATAATTATAATAAATAGATTCAATAAAAAAGAGAATACACACCTCTAGTAGAATCATCAAGTGAAATATGATTGTGGACATTTTGCCTGTTTATAGGTACACAGCTCGGTGGTTGTTTCTCCCACGTCCCCGTAATGTTACAGCCGATCTTAGATTGTCCGGTCAATGTCAAACCGGCGACACACGAATACACAGCACTGCTCACGTTAGCAACATACGGTCCTGTTGACAGAATTTTACCACCAGAGATAGGGGACGGATCAGGACAGGTTTTAACTAACCCTACCACAGCCGTAGATGCGGAGTTGTGCGGAAGTTGCGAAGAAACTGTTACGTCCGTTGTGACGTCATATGTCGTTGATGCATTAAGTCCGCTTAAAATTGGTGCAGTCGTGTTACTGGAAGTTGTAGAATTGTCGTCTGCTGTGACAGAATAATCGGTTGATGATTTTACATTTGTATGCGTGCTGGAATCCGTTGTTGAGAATACAGCCGTCGGCGGGTTCGTTGTAGTCATATTTCCTGCGTCTTCCGTGCTTATAGAGCCTGCTTGGTTCGTTACAGCAGCCGTTGTTTCTGTCGTTTGTTGCAATGTGTTAGCAGACGACTGGGCGAAAGAATGCACATTGCTCGTTGATAAATCACCAGTTACGCCTTCCGTTGTGATCGTTGGAGAATTTGTTGATGTCATCATACCGAAACTGTAGTTTTCGTTATATAAGTGGCACTTAAAATAATTAAAATGTTTATTTAGTGTGAAATACCATTTACCACTGGATTTCAACACAACATTTTGGTATTTTTGAGAAAAATTAAAATGGTTGAGAAAATATCTGAAATACTACTTTATCCAGTGTCTCATAAAGATACTTATTACATATTTCAAGTGTCAAATCTGAACTTTAAACTAGAGAATTTAACCCGAAAATGTCTTTGTAAAGATAAATATTTAATAAAAGTTGGATTTTTACTAAAACCAGCTATTCACATTAAATTTCAATTGCAAAATAAATCCGCAAATTTGATTTAAAATAAGCTTTTCAAATAGAATATAATCTTTAAAAAATAATGCTATATTTTAGCTAATAAAACTAAAAAGTGGCTACGCTTACCCCAAAAATATATTTTAAAATGATAACTGTTCAGTTAAATTACAGAAAAAGACAATAATAATAATGAAAAGATTTAAAAAAAGATAACAAACCCCGCAAACTAACAATGTAAGGATGAATTGGATGTTCAACAATGACCAAATGACTTCTTTAATATTAATATGTTAATATAAGTAAAATTAAGTTCGTGATGGGACAATCACGTTTCAAGGGAGAAAAACTGATTTGTTTGTTTAAAGTGGATTAAAGGGGGTTATCTCAAAAACAAAGTTAAATGGAAGACAACACAATTGTATTCTTCTGCTAAATCCTTTATTATGGCACATTCCAAACTTTTCATGTTTATTTTCGCTTATCTGTAACATTGGAGGTCAAAATTTTAATGCGGTTAAAATCTTAATTGAATGTTAAAAATATTTTCAATGGGAAATTCTGTAACATTTGAATACATACATGAAAGCTCTGCTTCAAACAATGACTTCAGCAAAATTAAAATAAATAAAACTTATCAAAAGTTGTATTATTTATTTACATGTTAACTATTGAATGTGTTGCTATATTTACTGCTTTGTTGCAACCTTCAGGACTCCAATTCGAATTTAGCACCAACGTTGAGGTCTATTCGGTGAAATGTACACTTTGAATTTGGGTGTTCTATACGGCAAAAAATATGCGCAACGTTGAATAGAGCTGTCATTAACTGTATGTAAAAATAACCAGTTACTTAGCTGAGAGGCATTGGCTAAATGTCTGATAAGCCTATTGTATCGGTGTTGCCCGTACATAGGTAAGCCGGCTAAGTGGTAATCGTTGAAGTTATAGACGTAGAGAAATCTGCAGACGACAATTTCTCTAACACTGATTTATGTCTTCCTTTGACAATAATGATGACGTAGTTAACATCATTTACATTGTCGTTATATCAATTCTAGAAAGAGTGTGCTCGGACATGAACTGTGCAAAAGTGACAACAAGTAAGGATTCTTAGAACATACATTTATAACAAATTACAGTGTAGTGATCGTGACAAGAACGTATCAGAGCTAGACAAGATTTCCGCAAGAGTCCAACCAAAAGTCCTTATCTACAGATTGAGGTTAAAATTGTGTCTAATGTGGACTCTGTTTAATGACCAATGAGCAGCAAGTTACACAATTTTCGTAAAATCAAAGACTTATATAACAGAGGTAAAGGAAGCTCTTGAATAGAAAGTTTTCCAATGCTGACCCACAATCCCTTGCGAGAAATTCATTGGCTTTTGGGGTTAATCAATTTCCGCCATCTTGTTTTACGTAACCAAATATGTTTACATTCTCACTCATTGCCGAAAATAATTTACATCTTCATGATCTTTGTTGTTTTTAATTTTACATTTTTGCATGTGTTAATTATTGATTACCAAAACAATTGTCAGATAACATGGCGGCATTCATATCGATAAATTTTCTCGTGTCAAACATGGTCCCGTAAAATCTTGCAAAAAATGTGAACTTGCGGGATAATAAATCCCTTATGTATGACGTCATGGCTTCCTCTCCATTTAAATATAGCTCTGTGGTAATATGAATAGCATTTAGAACCGCGAGTATCATAAACTATTAAGGTAACGAACAGGTCATCCAGACGACAAGGTATTTCTCCCTTGTACTTCCATTTTCGTTAACAGATGAATCACTGCCATCCAGGAAAATGGAATAATTTAATTAAATATAAAATCTCAAGAATTCAACAAAGTTCGCACATATCATTAAAAATGCAAGTGACTGAATATTTGTGCAACCACGTGTGTGCGCGCACGCGCGTGTTTGGGTTAGGCGATTAATTCAATAATATTGTGATAAATGCCGTTAGAAGACGAGAACTTTATATTAAATATTTTCCAGCGTTTATCAACAGCTTCCTTGGATATAGGAACGGACAAAATTATGTCATTATATTTAGATTTGATAAAATCAGTTATAAATGACACTTCAAATATAAACAACTATATTAAATGATGTGACCTGTATATCGCCCGCTGTAACAAGATATGGCAACACTTAACGTAAATTTGACTTACATCTTGAATACTTGACCGGGTTATTTTAGCAGAAAAGGGCAGGCAAAGTATTCCGATATGGTTTCTGCAAGTTCTTTTCTCAGCATGACATTATTTAACTGAACGGAGTTGAATCGACATATAAATGTTATTCGTACATGAAACCACCGACTTATTCACATTCTGTATACGGAAACAAAATGTGTAATATTAGAAATTATATTAGAAAACAACGCAGTAACTTATTTGTCCAAAGATTTAATTATTTTCAGTTAGAGAGGTTTTTTTCCTCCAATATTAGCATGATACGGAAGTGTATGCTAGACATAAAAGATTTATGACTTATCAATGTTAACATCTCCCAAAGTTTAATTTCCGTTGAATGATAGTTGACGATAAACGTGTTCAACAATAATGCATTACATGTTTTACAAATATACTAGTAATGTTCGCCGCAGACTCGAAAATTATGATTTTATTCAACTCGTTCAATAAATTTAGTATTAAATACTCATTTAATATCCTCTACATAAATATTTGTTATATCAGATCATGTATCTCTGCTTCCATGTATAAATCTCTTCATGGTTTGTTCATATGTGTAATACTAAATACTATTAGAGTAAGTATTCAATTCCATTTATAGACATTCATTATAGACTAATTCACTTTAGATAAAATTCATTTTAAATAAGAAATAAAAATGCACTTTCTTGACATTTTAATTCTAATATACTTTCATGAACTCCAGTGCTAAGGTAATAAATGAACACACAGTGTTTTATATATTTCTAGCAATATTTTCGATCTGGCTTACAATGGATTGATAATTAGCATCGCACACACTTTTTTCTCCCACGCAATCTTTCTCCAAAGTTTTAAGTAAAGATTTATGTACACCAGGTTTAGGGCATATATTATCTAACGCATGAAGCATTTCTGTCGTCGCCATTTTGTTTGTTGCGTTCCCAGTTATTTTCAATACGTCATGAGCAAACTTGCCCGGATGTGCGGTGGACGCTATAACCATGGGTCTTTCCTGTTTAAATCGGTCAGCTACGACTTTTGCGATACTGGTGTGGGGATCCATAAGATAACCTAAAATGTTTTGTATAAAAATAAAATTAATTTTTAAGACATACTTTGATAAACAAATTGCATAAATATATGTAAAGATGGTTTATGAGCTCTTTTTGAACGGAGGATATATTTTATTAATATAACTCAAAGGTATTACCCAAGACCCCACAAAAAACCCCAATTGATCAATCGCCCCAAAGCTTAGTTGACGCCTAAAGAGGAAAATCAGCCCCCCTCCCCCTACGAATAACAATTTGGACTTCAATTAAGATTCTTCTGGGATCGCAGGTATATTCGAATCCCATGTTTTTTCTTTCTTTTTTTAATTCCACATTAAATATGTAGGCACACGTGTCTATGCAAGAATAATGAAACAAAATTCAAAATCAGATACCATTGTTTTTAAGTGTGTCCCTCATCGCCTTCCCACACTCCTCTTCGGTACACCAATCTGCGTGAAACAGACCTTGTATGTTCTCAAGCACCTAAAAACAAAATCACCTTATTTTTCAAAGGTCAAGGATTTGCATAAACTGGTCGGAGAATTTTAGGGAGATACATGATTTAGGCAATTGAACAGAGGAACGCATTCTGTGCCCCTATGCTTGTGTTTAAGTTAGGCTATATATTTTTCACATTACTTTGAATGTTCTGTACATTTTTCACGAATGTTGTTTTACTATATCAAAGAAAATTCAGAAATTAATCCTTGACTTTATGTGTGAAATTAGAAATTTAAGAAGGTCATTTAATGAAAAAAAAAGTAAACAACGAAATTAACTAATGCTTATAAAGTTTTTTTTTACTTGAGCAGGGACGTCAAACTTTCGTCTGTCTCGTAGTTGTGTGAAGGCACTATTTATAAAGCTAGCATCTCTACCAGAAATGCTATACAGCAAGCGTTCAAGGTTAGAAGACACTAAAATATCTATGGCGGGAGAAATCGTCTGCAACAGTCGTCTGTTGGAAATGTCGTAACATCCAGACCTGATAAAATCAGCAACCACATTGTTATCATTGGACGCGCAAATGAGTTTCTTGATAGGTATTCCCATTTCCTAAAATTTAATAGAATTGAGTTGATATTTGTTTTATACTATATATATAATTTAACCTATTATCATTTATCATGTAAAATTGTAATAAAGAGTGGATATTCAAGTTTTTTTCTGTAAATAAAGGATTTATTATTATCGAATGATATGAAAATACATTTCATGAGTGGAGGGTAATATGCTAATTTTCATATCACAAGATTAAAAAAATCCTCTACTTATAGAAAAAAGACTTGAATATTCTGTTTAATAAATAATATTTCTCTTTTTACAGTGAAAATACAGAAAATGAAAATACGAATTTTATTTCATCAATATTTCATTAATAAATAATTATGTAATAATATACTTGCATAATATATCAATGTAGTGGAAAAATATTATATATCACATATTTATTATATCGTTTATCGTATATTCAATATTACACTTTAGAAATATACCATATAACGTTTTAATACTAATAATATGTTATATAACACTTTAGTGGCAATTAATAATAAATTACTAATGTAATAAATATCTGAAGTGGTAGTAAATAATGATAACAAATTTAATATATCACAAATGACTGTTTATATCATTGTAGCAATGTATCATATTAGATCACAGTATATTTATTTATGTAATATATCACAAATAAGTGTGACAATGTACAAATGTATCATATATCACAAAAATAGAAATATAATAGGATTATGCAAAAGTATAATACATTGTATATATGTGTATATGTGTTATAGAATATCAGTATAATTGTTATAATGTATCATATATACATGTAACACTGTGATAAGCCTTCTTTTTTAAAAATGCACATTTGTAAAGACAATTAAAATTGATAGTTTTTACACAAAGTCACCTGAAATACCAAGTGTTTTGACCTAGTTAATATTGTAATCATTTACATTATCAAAACTCAAAATAAAAACATGTCAAGCCACGTTAACGGGGTTAATACTGATCAGACGGTCACTATAGACAGGGTCTGTCATCAATCATGTTTATCTAGCACCCAACACCCAGCGGGAACACGCACATAACGAATACCTTATACAAACATCGTTACCAATTAACTGTGTTCATTCATGTTTGAATTACTACACTAAGTTTGTGAGAAAAAAAACCCGGCTTATTCTCTTTCCCTTATATCTCTGACATGTTTGCTGGTTCTCCATCTCTTTTAAATATTAGCTGTACTATTCCTATTTCGCATTTTTGCCGGCCTTCATCTCTCGCGCATAGGGGAGCGGTGGCCTAGTGGTTAAGGTGTCTGCATCACAACACATGGATCGTGGGTTTCAAGCCTTACTCTAATCACAACCATGTTTCTTCATATGTTATTAGTACTGAGTACTGCTGAGTTCTAGGAAGTGGACTCGAAAGTTCGAAATTGAGCTAAAATAAATAAGTTTAAACTAAACCTCACACATGTTTGTCCTCCTTCACCACTCACGTGTGTTGTCTCTTACATGTTGTTCCTGACCTCTTTCGCATATTTGCTGTCACTTTCCTCTTTCTCTCTCATGTTAGCCATAAACCACTCATGTTTGTTGTCCTTAAGCTCTCTCACTTGTTTGCTGTCCTTTATTTCTCTCTCTCTCATATTTGCCTTTAACCTCTCTCATGTGTTTGATTTTCTTTACCTCTCTCATTTGTTTGCTGTCCTGTACCTCCCATGCTTGTTTGCTGTCCTTTACCTCTCTTTCATGTTTGCCCTTTACCTCTTTCGTGAGCTTGCTGCTCTTCAATTTTCCCGCACGTTTCCTGTCGTTTATCTATGTCCCTTGTTTGCTGTATTTTACCTCTCACGCTTGTTTGTTGTCTTTTTACCTCACCACAAGTTTGCTGTCCCTTATCTGTGTTCTTCACTTCTCTTGCGTGTCTTCTTTCCTTTACCTCTAACTAATACTTGTTGTCCTTTACCTCTCTCATAATTATGTTTCAACCTCTGCACACGTTTGCTGTGTTTTACCGCTCTCATATGTTTGCTGTACTGAACCTCACTCACACATTTGCTTTCCTTTACCTCTCTCCCTTGTTCACTGTCACTTACCTCTCTTGTATATGTACTGTATATTCATGTAATTCTAAGCTGCTTTAATGTTGAATCCTCCAATGAATTAAAGATTACTGGATAAAACATTTATTCACCTAAAATCATTTACTACCTTTGCATAATAGGCCGCAAGAATGTTTCCAAAATTGCCGGTTGGAACACAAACATCGATTTCGTCTCCCATAGCAATGACCTTCTGCTTCACAAGGTCAAGGTAAGAAGTCACGTGATATACTACTTGTGGCAATAACCTTCCCCAGCTGATCGAGTTTGCAGCACTGTGATGAAACATACATTTTAATAAAAACATACATTTCAATTGAAGGATCACATATTTATTTTTGGGCCCTTATCGAAAATTATACCAGTTAATAATCCGTATCCTTTTTTAAATGTAAAACTTGTTTCTCTAATGCTTGACTTATAAGCAATGGCGAACAACTGTTTAAAGAGGATTATTTAAGTAAACGTAAATTTGCAGATGAAAAACTGAACATGATGATATTTACACAACATTCTTTTTTTTACTTATTCTCCTACTGAGATAGTTTTCGATCTTTCATTCATCCAACAACCAGAAATTGTTTTAAAATAAATATCTGTAGACAAGTAGACAAAATGATCACTGTGTGAAAAGTAATTCAGAATAAATTGGCATGAAAAATCAAATCCGGGGATATTCATTGAAATATTTTAGCTAAGCATACCTGATTTTTACATTGTGATCTTGGAATAGTCTTTGTGACAAATCGTGATCACCAAACGCTTTCTTTACACTGGTCTGGCAGAAGTCAAAATCACTTCCGGAAACTCCTTGATTTGTAAACAAAAATATAAGTCAAGTTTGAATTGTTTGACCGGCCAAGTCTCGAATAGTTATATTTGGCACTACAGTTTTGTAATTGTATGTATACATGTACGTGTTTTTGTTGATTAGGAAATGAAAACAGCCCGGATGATACAATGGACGTAGGGTTAAGAGCCAGCCCCTTTGAATAATAATACCATATAGCAATCTAGTTAAAGTATACCATACATTGACAAACGAACCAATGACATTTGACCTAATACACAACATTACCAATCAGTTATCAAATTCGGACAGGAGCATACCGATAAGCTATAGTGGCACTGTATGACAAAACAAAAGGTACATACCCACGACCCTCGCGAGGTGGCTATTGTAAGAAATCATCTGTTCTCGCTGTATATCACTGATGCCCTCAAGCGGGTACAAAACCAACACGCCAATGTTTGCTGAGAAGTTTCCTGCAATTATGTATAACAATAAAAAAGCCTTCTATAACACTTTTCGTCCACCTAACCCACATTTATGCTCGATTTATATATTTGTAACTATAAGCTTTAAATCATCATTTAACCATCTAAAAAGACTAACTGAATGTTTTAAAACACCTAAATCTTAACGAATATGAGATTACTTACAAAGGATAACTTATTTATATCAAACAGCTTTGTTACTTCTTTGGTGAAGAGGTTGTTTTTGTAACTTAATCTAAGTGAGACAAGGGCTTTCTAGGAATCGCTTAACATTCTATAGTTTTTATCAATGTCTTTACCAAAACAAACTTAACATCATATACAGAAAGACCACCTCTCACGCTGTATAATGATATTTAGAACCGTTCCATTTTTTCATTTTAGGCATGAGAGGAATTATTTTAACCCAGTCTTTTCGGTAGACAGTTCTATAGATCTACTTAACATTTCATGGGACTTTTCAAAAGTTAAGGACATGTTTTAACCTTTACCGTTCCCAGAGGAAAGCTATTACATACCAGCATGCCTTGAGAAACCATCGAGAACCGCTCCGCCAGTATCACCGGATGTAGCTACTAAAATCAAGTACCTGTATAGCAAAATGTAAATCAAATAATGCACAATTTTTCATTTATGAAATTAAGCTTGTCCGTTTAGAATTCCATTTCATGTAATTTTGAGTTATCTAAAATATACCTACATGTAGCTACCTGCACGAGCAAAAGTTATTTTTAAAAGTTTCATGGAAAGAAAGAAAGTTGTTTTAGTAATTCTTTTGAAGCGGGTATGTATTGAATAAACACGATATAAAAAAAAATTAGGTGTTGATTTTTCTGATACTTCGTTGAAAAAAGTAGTGCTTGGACATTTAAGACAAGTTAATCCGGCTGATAAATCACATACTTGCTTTTAGATTCCTCCGCGACAGCGTTCATAAACAACTGTGGCATCAACTGAAGTGCGACATCTTTAAACGAGGCTGTTGGTCCGTGAAATAGTTCCTGCACGTATTGACCCCTGTCCAGGTGACGCACAGGACAAATATTGGCATCCTGAAACGTTTCTAGATTGTATGCATTATTTACAGCAGTTCTTAAAGTCCGAGGATGTAGATCTCTGAAATCCATCCATTTCTCTAGAATTCGGATAGCTCTTTGCGGATACGTGAGATCAACTAATCGACTTAACTGACCGATGGACATCTTTGGAGTTTCATCTCGAGGAACAATCAATCCACCATCCGAAGCTAAACCTTGTAGAAGCACTTCATTGAAGCCTTTATCTCCCATGTGTAAACCCCGTGTTGAGACGTACCCATGCTTCGCTTCTATGTTTTGAACTTGTGATAAAACCTTCCCCGCAATACTCTCAGGGCTTTCATTTCTTTCACATATTACCCTGGTATCGTACCATTTCTCGTAAAATTGTTGCCTATATTGAAGTATATCCGCCATACTGGTTCCGTCATTTTGACCCACAATCCTATTTACCTTCATCCGCTCTAGCCTCTCTAAAATATCTGTCATATGTACATCTAGAAACACCACGGTACCTGTTACAATTGAATAAAATCTGACGGGGACCTGAGTAGAATCACCGACGTTCCGTAAGCCTAATACGAATTGAAAGTAGTTCTACCCCATGGGAAACAGAGAGTGTAAAAACAAATATATATATTTGACGTCCAAAGGAAAATATTTTGATACAGTTATGATTGAAAATTTGTCTGACAACCATTTTTAATTTAAATATGCCCACTGATGTACACTTTTAAACAAATCCGACTTAATGCCAACAGTCTGGCATTTTGTACTTTCGGTTTCTACAACTATAATAATAAATATATAAATAATGTATTATTTGCTTTTGTAGGTATGAATTCACTTACTTAAGTTGGACCTTTACTGGATATGTTGGAAATAAACTTGTCACCAACTCCCAGCATTAAATTACTATTTGTTCACATGTTGGGGCGTCCATGGCCTAGTGGTCAAGGCTGTTGACTTCAAACCACTTGCCCCTCAGCGCTGTGGGTTCGAATCCCCACAGGAACTTTGGATTCTTTCATGTGAGGAAGCTATCCAGCTAGCTTACGGAACGTTGGTGGTTCTACTCGGGTGCCCGTTCGTGCCTGAAATAATGCACGGAAGGGCACCCGAGGTCTTCCTCCGCCAGTAAAGCTGGAACGTCGCCATATGACCTAAGCTGTGTCGGTGTGACGTAAAACCCAATCAAACAAACAAACATGTTTAGTTTCTTGGCGTACTATTATGTTCGAGCTCCTTATCCGAAGACATACGTAAAGGGCCGAAAGGTTGCGATTGTCGGTAAGCTAGCTAGATGATTAAGAACGGAGAGGCGTCCGTCAACAGAACGTTTATCTGGAAATTCATGATTTCCGTTTTAATATAAATATTCGTTTAAAATAGTAAAATTCATAGAATTTTGTTTCATATGTTTTATAAAGAAGTACATCAAACCTGTGCTTGCAATGTGCGACATTCCAGCATCATGCATCGGATTTGAACCTGTTAGAGACACCACGTGATTTTCTGTATGGAACGCTGAGAGAGCTTGTCCTTCTGCTTCAACAAACCGGTCTGAACCAACTTCATCTAGCTGAATATAAATTTATTCATGATAAATAAAAGAATATATAATATAAGATAGAAGACTTTTGAAACGAAATTTATACGTGTACATAATTATGTATATAGTATAGAAACAAAATAAAGTAGTTATTTTAAACATCAAATTGGCACTCGATTCAATATGCAAAAACCACAATGAATAAAATAAATAAATAAATAATGTTCTACATGTGACCTTGAACTTGACTGCAGGGACATGAATTTTACGCGCGACACTCTGCCTCACAATGGTAAACATTTGTGCCAAGTTATATTGGAATCCCTCAATGCATGTAAATGATTTGCTTCGGACAAGCGTTTTTCAATGAGCTCTAAGTATGACCTTTACCTTTGACCTAGAGGCGTGCCCGCGACACATGGACATTTCTATGTAGCTCCATGTGTGTAGGAGATATGCTCCGTACAAAATTGGACGCCGCCCGCCTGCCAGGGGCGTTCTATAATAGGACCCGTTTTTGAAACGGGGATGTAAAAAACATATTACGGTCGCCAACTGTCGGTTTGTTTAAAAGACTAAATTGGCTTACTTAAACAGAACGATGTTAATATCAATATTCAAAACTATAAACAATACAGCTCCGACGAAACCTTCTTGAAATAAAGATATTAATATAATTATTATCACTTTCGCAAATTAATTTTTGTATTTTCTGATCGTAAGATCAGTAAATACATAGCTAACATCCACGGTCTGACACAAAATTTCCTCACAGTCCTAACAACGCAAAGTAGTTCTCACTCAAAACTGCTTAAAAACCAGCAATTAAGAAGAAAGAATAATTTTTAATGTAGGCATTTAACGAATTACAGTGCATTAAAAGTTTAGATTAGTCAATAGAAATATGAGGTTACAATCACAAATTTCGCGGATGAATATCTTTTTACCCAATGAAAAATGTTCGGCTATTTCCGTAAAGCTTCGGATTATCATGAATATCATTTTAATCAATGAAAATGCTATTTTTAGCTATGTCGATTACCGAATACTCCAGAGCGTAGTACACAAATAAATCTGACTGTCGAGTAGTGGAATATATACATGTCGGACTGTTTTGGCGAGAAGATTTTCGCTAAATTATTTTCATCAGTGTTAAACAACAGGTTTATCGTGAACAAAATACCTCGAAATTAATAAGGATTGCAAACACGAAATGGAAATTCTCAATTTAGAATTACATAATGTATTCGTTTTTATTCAAGGTACATAGGTATGATTTAGATTGCAAAGATCAGAAAATACCATAGAGCTGCAGCCCTTTGATTTATCATGTAGTCTAGAGTTAAAAACAATAAACCTGACATTCTGTTAAAGAACCCATTATTGTTTTTTCTTCCTAACTGCCAGGAAAACACATGTGCCATTCAGTTAAAGAATACATGTAAAACTCGTTCTTTTGACTTTTCTTTAAGTTTCAGAAAATTAATTAAATATAGCATGGTCCGTTCATTTTTGTCCAATTTATTAGCATTGATATAGTCACATGGCCGAGTGGTTAACGCGTCGGACTAGTTATCTATGGATTGCTGGCTACGTAGGTTCCAAACCCGTCAGGGACAAGCCGTTGTTTCCGTGAGCAAGAAATTTTACTCACTTTGCTTAGTAGTGGTTGGTTCCAGGAATGGATTCGAGTGTTTCAATAAGCTTACAGCTTCCAGCACTATCGCACTAAATTAATTTCGTATAAAATAATATTGACACAATATGTATTGCTTTTATAAAGACCAAAACAAACAACAATAACAAAACAACAACAACAACAATAACCTTTTGAGCAACCGACATTCCCCAGTGAGTTTCTAGGTGATCGTCATCTATATCGAGAACTGGTCGTCCTAATGCTGCCGATAAAACCCTACCGACGGTTGTTTTACCACATCCGGGACTTCCCATAAGAATGATATTGTTCTATATAGACAAAAAATGTAGCTATGTACATATATTTTCAAACACAAGAGAAAAAACTAGTGCAAGACAATATATAAGCCGCGTCATGACAAAACCAACATAATGGGTTTGCGACCAGCATGGATCCAGACCAGCCTGCGCATCCGCGCAGTCTGATCAGGATCCATGCTGTTCGCTTACAAACCCTATAACAAGTAGAGAAACTGATAGTGAACAGCATGGATCCTGATCAGACTGCGCGGATACGCAGGCTGGTCTGGATCCATGCTGGTCGCAAACCCATTATGTTGGTTTTGTCATGATTATTTAGTTCATTTGACGCTTATGAGGTTAGAATGAAAACCTCCTGTCCCTAAATATAAAATTACCCTCGTTCGACGGTTATACAACATGTAACTTAACATGGCTTATCTACGTGACTTGTTTTACTTCGTGAAACAAAATTACATGACACCGACGTTTATCATTGAATCACGACTCACAATTTTCAATATCCTTTATTTGTTATATTCTATTCATTCTAATATGTCAGCAAGGAATATTGTTTTAGAAAATTAGTGCATGCAGTAAAAATGTAAAATTACCTTGACATTTGAAGCATTATTTCGGAGTTTGCTACCGCAAAAGTACATGCGTCTATGTCGAAAACAACATCCTCTTCGAACCAGTAATTTCAGGATCATTTCGTTTCTTTAATCACAGACTATAATTAAATCATCCGTAATACTTTGGTAGAACATTGCTAAATAATGAGTTTCATATTACATCATAAAATCATATATGATAACACGCCCATTCTTACGTAAAAAGTCAAATAAACAAACTATGTGCCATTTAAATCCCCAAAACAACTTAGAATAGGAATAACATTATTAATTTCATTATTTATTTGCGTATATAATATAATTAATTTTTTATAGATAAAAAATAATGTAACCAAATATTTTTACTACATAATATACGAGATTCTTAAGTCTTAATAACTAGAATTAGTCCGTACTTTAATTCCTATCACAAGGTCGCCTTAATTAAAAAAAGCCTTGTTTCGCGATTCAGATAATTAATTGAACAAACATAATCATATAGTAATATTTTATTACATATTACTTCGTTAGTTTCCATAAAAATCTGATTGTCGTTTTTGTCATCCCTTTAATATTACAGAATACAAATTAATACGAAATAAGGGCAAAGGTGGAATAACACCTACACTCTCATACCATAGGGTTAAATCTTATCAGATGTACTAATCTATGCTAGCAGTTGAAAGTACATAATTATGTAAAACGCCTGACTGGTGTCTGTGTAATTTGTACAGTAAATTGTACCCACACACTCGTGAAAAAAATAAAAAGTTAACATTAATATCTTATAATAGCAGAAAATGAAATTTATATTTCGAAAAAGTTCAAAGTTATGTTTAAATGTATATCCAAGATAAGACCCCGGGGTCTCAACGAGTATCTATATTATCACAGACGCTTGGGGGTCAGATCCTGACCCCAACGTGATACGCCCCTGTTAACACGAACACGAATGGGATATCTATTACAACGATAAAACTGGTTTTTAAACAATTTTTACATATCTGAAAAAAATACCATATAAAATCAAGTCTCTTTTTAGACTTGATGGTGTATGGTATTTTTTTCATAAATGTGAAAATTGTTTGAAAACCAGTTTTATCGTTGTTCATAATAGATACCCCATTCGTGTTCAAATATTAAAATAGTTTTGATAGAGTACGTGTTAACAGGGGCGTATCACGTTGGGGGCCAGGATCTGACCCCCAAGCGTCTGTGTATATTATATGAAGCTTATTCTGTATTTGTAGTTAATAATTGTATAAATTATATTATCTATTGCAGGACATCAATTAGTAACTTTGACACGTACATTTAACAACGTATGTTTTAGATCGAATCCGACGATGCAGTTTACTGGCATTTATTAGCACGTTAAAAATAACCTTGATCTACTCAAATACGAGCAAACAAAAATAAAATCTGACCTGCTTTATCTTTAATCTCAAAATTTAAAAGACTTACTAAGTCACAAAATCTATAGACATGAACTATAGGTACTGCAAAATGTGTTAAACGGATTAACTGATACAGGTAAAGCAAAAGTTATGCTCGAAATTGCATGGTAAAAGCCCTTTTAATTTAGTTATATTTGGATAACTTACATCAACTTACCCATAACTAGTCCTAACACGGAAAGATAAAATGAAAAAAAAACCAACCAGAGAATACTCGTTTGCAAATGTAACTGACCTAGAAAGGGAAGTAACTTTAGATTACTTTTTACAATGTGAGATTTTATTACTTCCCTTCCCTCTCAGAAACGAATATATTTTCGTTCTTTATAAAGGTAAATAATGGTTTCAGAGCATTTTAGATGCGTATCACCTGGAGAAAGTGGAGCTGAATGTGAAGTTATTTGTTACGAAACTAGCAAAATGTAAACAAGCTAGTAATTTGTCTTTCATACTAAATACTAAACTAAACTAAACTACAAAGTACTAAAATGATACCACTATACCTCTATTAATGCCAAAAGCAACAGAAACAAAAGATGGTTCAGGTTTTGTTTGTTTTTTTGTTTGTTTCATTTTACGCCTTTTCCCAACAGTATTTCAGTCATATAGGCGGGTAGTTTCCTAACGATCGTTCCTGGAGAGTTACACCAGTACTTGACTACCTTCCTCCGCGCTAAACTACCAAAGCATCTAAATGACCAATAAGTAATTTTTTTGAAACTATAACAGAGAACCAAAAATAAAGAAATAATGATAAAAACATTCATATTAAGAGTAAAAAACGAGCCTTTAAATACTTAGAGAAACTCTGGATGGTACTGCGTTCATTAAACGTTTTTTCGTTGAGATATATTTTAGTTCGTGCTGTGTTTGTTTATGACGAGGAACTGTTATGTTCTGTGTTGCGTCCTACTAACTTGTCTCGCCTATCTGATTTTGTTCTTGGACTTCCATAATGAGGATTAATAAGAGAGTATATATATTTTATATTAAAGTCCCATTAAGCCTTAAAATGCTATCACTTTATTTTTTTCAAAAACCTCTTTTATATTTTTTGTGTCCTTTAACAGTTTCCTAAAAAGGTTACTTATTTGTCATTTTTATGAGCCATGTTTTGTTTCTTTCACGCTTTGGTATAGCTACAGTTATAATATCTTGTATGGAGGTCAAAAAAACCAATTTGTTTACATTTTTACTACATGTACCTTTAACACAAATTATTTTACATTCAATGGAATTTTCATCAGATAATGAGCATCTCATGTGTTCTAAAACCTTATTACAACATTTTTAACTTTTGACAGACAGAATGAAACATTTATGAATTTCTGAAGCATAATGTGCCTTTAATGAACAGGTATCATTGAATGATCTACTTATTTGGTATCTCCATCAGTTCAGAATGAGAAAAAATGGGGAAAAAAAACTTGTTTTTCAATATCGTAATGATGTCGTAAGTTATTTTTATTTAATTATTTTTATTATTTTTATGACCGTTTTAAAGGATTGGCCAACCTCGTAACGTTAAACCTGACTCGTCTTTCTGCCATTTTATATCATTATCTTTAACCCATTACTTCATGAGCATTTTGTGAAAAATGGCTGTTTTCATTGAAAAGTCTCCCGTTACAAGTTCAAATTGCTATAATACTATTAAAACTGCTTCAACACTAATCAAACTTGGCACAAATGTTGACTGGACCATTGCCCTTGCAACAACATGCTCAGGCTTAAATTTTCTGTTACCATGGCAACGAGGGGACATCTCAAAATTGCCAAAAATCCCTATTTTGCGTTGATTTTTTCCATCAAAATTGATTTCAAAGTGCTGCAATTTCTCAATGGATTGAGATAGAGTCAACTGCTTTTCAGCGTTGGTTACACGTTACCTTATGATCAATCTGGGGTCATTTACAGCCTCTCACAAGTCCAAAATTTTCTTGGCGATGAGGGGGACTCCGCCCCCCTTCAAACCCCCCAAACAGAAGGGGGCACATCCCCCTTCTGGCAACCCCCTGATGTATCTTTTGGTTGGGGGCCGCGCCGAAAAAGAGGTCACTATTTTTAACAACATTTCTCAAACAAAAACAAGTGTTTGGGGCCTAAATAAGGCATTTTTTCATCATTTGAGACAACAAAAAGGGGGGGGGGGGGTGAAAAAGGCGTTAAAAGGCGTGTATATGAAGTAATGGGTTAAGGAATCTTTAGTTAACTATGTAAATTCTTTCCGTTTAATATCGTTCGTTTGATATCGTTTTGTAGCATTGCTCATTTGTACAAATACCTGTCTCATAAAATATTATTTTGCCTTTTAAATGAATAAACGAAAGGTAGTTTTTTATTTACATCACTATTAGTGTTAACCTTTTCTTAAAATTATACTTATATAATTATCATTATTTTGCCAGATTAAACGAGATTCACTATCTGTCAATTAAAGTGAATTGGTCTATAATGGATCCAAGGTCTCTAAAACCATAAATAATTATGTTGATAGTGTTTAGTATATTATATGACATGAAACCATGAAATAATTATATACATGTATGGATGTTGTTGGTAAGTATGAAATACATAATCCGATATAATATTATACAAATATGGACTTTTTAGCTGTTGAATATGATGTGATATGTACTGAAAAAATTAATATTGACCGAGGCGATTGGCATGCTAATCCCTATTGTTCTTAAAAATGAATAACGGTAACTAATATAGACTAATTTGACTCTTATGTACACCCAACTCAACGTTTTTTTTAGAATGATAACAACAAACTTGGCGTGACGTCACGTCAAAGTCTCGCGTCTTTTAGGGATTTCCAGAAAATCTATTTTTAGAAGAAAAACCGGTGAATATACTCTGAAAATCTATTTTTAGTGGGAAAAAACAGTGAATATACTTTGATATTGACCTGTTATTTTTTACAAAAAGTTGCTTGTTAGCCAATCAGGGAAAGGCATTTCAAAGCTATTTATAGATTATATAATAAATCTTTATATTGCTGATTATAATACTGCACGTTTGTAACGTCGCTTTTCATCGGATAATCTTGACGTGTATATAGATTTTTATTACCCTTCCAGAATTTGTCCGCCTTTTTGATTGGATATTGATCACCCGAAAGAAATTGATATAACCGAGCCAGACGGGTAATATACACACTAAATTTCCCCGTTGGGTACCCAACGTTGTAAACAACATGCGCTGAGGTGATGCGCGTACGGTTCGATTTTACGCGGTGTAAATTCCGATTTAAAAGCACTTTTTAACTTTCAAATGATAAATATTTACCAAAGTAAAGTAATGATACATATTCTCATCGGTATTGAACACAAATATGACCTTGTGAAAGCTTGATATTAATTACAAAAAGTGCGTTCAATAGACTACTCCTTTTCTCTTGTTTACATTCGTTAAGTACGGGAAAAATACGTCATGTATTTATGTGACGTCATGTTGTGACGAAGAGGTACCCTAAAGGGAATCTTATTTCAACGTTTCATTTGAAACAGCAATGATTTTTTTAAAAAATCGTCTAAACTCGGCAGGGGAAGGGTAATAAAATTATTATTTTGGTTTTGGAGTGATATATGTGGATATATTACCTGCCAAGATAAAATATCACCCTCGCCTAACGGCTCGGGTGATATAAAATCTTAACAGGTAATATATCGACATATA